TGACTACAGAACAAAAACATAAAAGTAAGATATACGTTTGAATAAAACCATATATAAATCGGCATAATTTTATACCTAGTGCTGTGGTGTTGGTACACAATTGGAATTCCATTGCTAGAAGAAAAGGCAAATACAGGATTTGGTGTTAAGCAGAAAAGATAGATATTGATAAGATATCTTACCTAATATTTGTTTGTATATAGACTGAACGATACTTCTAGAAATAAATTAAATATATGCGTTTAAGTAAAAGGATGGAGTGTTTAGAGTGATTTGGAAAAAAGTATGTTGATTTTATATCCAAATCTGGAGAAATGGAGAGAAAAAAAGGCATAAACGTTCAAGAAAGTGAAGAGAATATTTAGAACGATCATATACATTTAATATATTGTTTTTATATTTATTGTTGTAATCAGTTTATCTTGGCATGAAGGGTTTTCAAATTAAAGGGAAAGGGTAATGATAACGACCTGCGAATGTGGATAAACTGAAAATTTAAAGTTGATAAATACATGTAGAGGTGCAGGAAGGGTGGTATTTATAGACGCTGGTGACATCTTTTGAATATGGGAGTTTACGTTAGTCAGCGCATGCTTATTTACCATTTCATTCGTTTGTAGTTTGTCCAGTCTTCTCGGCAGGGAGTTTTGTGTAGTCGATCCTCGACTGTTATTGAACAGCAGATGGCAGAAGGGGTCGGAAGAAGGACCGTATTTTCAAAAAGAATGAACGCTGAAGGGGTTAAGAGATATATTTCATTTCATATTATTTTATTTTTCTTTTAGTTAATATTCAATTTGTCGGTATGTATATTACATCGATGAGATATTAGATTCTATATATATATATTCTTTTACATATTGATGAAGAACAGCAGCCAGATTCATGATTTATTATTATACTCAAAATGGTTGCAGAAAGTATTTTAATACGAATTTATTAAGGTTTACATTGTAAATTATTATTAAGTTCTATTTTTGAAAATTTGATCTTAAATAAGCTCAAGCATTTTATAGGTTTATGATTTATTCATTGAATTTATAGAGATGCAAAAATGCTTGATTTTTCAATTTATAGAAATTAAATTTGATTTCCGAAAAAAATTATTCTATGCAAAACAGAAAATCAACACTGGTTTAAAATAAAACTTGGAAATTATTTCCGATTCTGGAGAAAACCTTTTATCAACTTTGAAGTGTTTTTCTTCACTAATTCAGATAATTAATTTATATAATTAATTATTATATTGAACGCGTAATGTGTGACTGGTTCCATCATCTAATTCATATCAAGATTGTACATGAAAGCCTTTCGCTTTCGAATCTTGATATCTAGTTCATTTTAAGTTATTTAAATAAAATTAAAACAAAGTTGCATATATAGAATACCTTAACTCTAAATACTTTTCATATGAAGTCAAAATCATTATCAAGAGAGAAGCATGCATCAAAATAGAATGCTTGTCCAATCTGCTCAACTTTGATCTCATTTATTCATGTATGTGGATGATTTTTGTTTAAAAACCAAAGAAAAATGACTTTGCATATGTTAATTTACACGTTTAGTAATAAAAATATATATTCTAGCTATATTGTTAATTCTTCAACTATTTTTCCTTTTTATCCAAATATAAATCATTTACTGTATCTAGAAAAATAACTTGAATATAATGAAAACTTTTCTTATCGTTACAGAGAAAAGAATATTACATTTTTCTTCTGTGAGTTTTAAAGGTTAAATAAAATTTTGTTCAAAGATCTATAGTTTTTCCATCTACTACGTATTCCTATGTTTATCACCAGTGTTAGAAAAGAAACGACAATCGTATGGTCATCAATCATCAGGAAGAAAATTGAAATTTGTAAAACTTGAACTTGCTTCTCGACGAGTAAGCATTAAACTTTTATTATGTTTTTTCTAAGTTCTTTTTTTCAAGAATATATTGTAGAAGAATATCAACAACCACAAGAATTATTAATGCAATTGTATCAACAGGCTGAATCAATGCGTGTTATGAACAACACAACAAATTATGATTGTAGTCAAGTTAAATCAAAAATGAATACAACATATTCACATCGTCAACAACTTGTTCGAGAGATGAAGTTTATCAAGGATATTGTTGAATTATATTCAGCTTTATCAATAACCAATTTAGTAAGTATTTGTATATAGCTTATTGATTGATAAACAGGTTGATGTAAAACTATGGAATTGAGATAGACCATTTAAGGAAGTTGGCAAACTCTCAATAACATGACTTTATATTTATTACTTTTTTTTTTAATAGTCAACTCGAGAAATTAATTTTTGACATGATCCATTTGGCGATGATATTGTTAAAACATTAACATCAGTTTGTGCAAAATTAATTAAGTATGTTGATCATCCTCGAAAAGAAGATGTTGCTGAAGGTAATTTCTTTTTATTAAATCTCTTTTATTTTCTTTATTTTACAAGAACAACCAATTTTTCATTTTGGAATATTTGATCATGAAACGTTTTAAACATTTAAAAAAATCGTTATTAAACCACGTAAGTAATTCCATATACAACTGAAATGATTACATAGTAGTCATCATTTATTTTATTATTGTTTATTTTAGGAAGTAATTGACGTTCATCCAAAGATACAAGTACAATCAATTGACAAAATCAAAGATTATGCTGTTATTATTGAATATAATCGTCTTATTTCAACAAATTCACAAGTAGAAACAGTGGCTGCTTTAATTGGGTCGTATGAAATATTTAATATAGAATATCCATTAAAAGTACGTGCAACATTAGAAGTTCTCAATGGTTTATCATTCGCTGCTAAATGATTTTTGAATGGACATAAACTAAATAACTCATCATCATAAAATATTTAGGTACACTTGCATGTTATTTCTAAACTTTCTTTTGTATCTTTTCTCTTTCTATTTAAGTTCATTATTTGTCGTTTCAATTGTTATTAATTTTTAAAATGTTTTTTTTATATTATTGGTTTACGTTTGCGCATTGTATTATTACTAATACGAAACAATTATATTTTTTGTTGTATCTTTGCCAGTTGTATTATTATCAATATGAACTAATTATGTTACTGTTCTACGTTTGCGCTTTGTATTATTGTTAATATGAAATAATTATATTTTTTGTTTTATGTTTGCGCGTTGTATTATTATCAATACGAAATGAAATAAAATTAAATAAAATAAATTACATGATGAAGAGAAAAATCAAATTTGATTCTCTAGTTAATATAATATGCTCGAATTGCTATATCGAATCCGAAATTCTAGGAATGCCTATATGAATTCATTCTCGATTTTCTAATTAGAAAATCAAAATTCATATTGTTAATCTTTTAAATATCTTATTTTCAAAAATTTAGAAATTCGCTAGTGAATTCATATAGGCATCCCTGAAATATCTTTGACAAAATTCTACAACTTATTCTCTAGTTTACAATGTAGTGTATTTTCTTTAAAATAATTGAGGTGTTCCTTTTGAGTGCTTTGAAAAATTCCCCAGTTGTTTAAAATATGTTGACGCGTTTAGCTAATTTATTCGGAAAGAACCTATTCTTTCTGAATCCCGATGAGCGATACCATTCTTTTTTAGGTGAAGTAATTATCTTAAACGCTTGCCAGGATTGTTGAAATTCGAGAGCGTCAGCTGCTCTTTCTAGGTGACAGTTAAAACGACATCACTAAGAATAAATATAGTCCAGTAGACTTTCCTCTTTACTTAAAATCACAGTCGACATATCATCCCATCCTTTGCGAGAGTATAGTAACCTTATACCTGAGTAGAAGACATGTTCGATCATTCTCTTTTGGATTTCAATGAAATACTCAGAAAAAAAAGAAGATTTGCAGAACCTTTTTAACAGTTCAGCCCGCGGGTAAAATTCAGAACTCTTCAAATTCAAAAGGATTCTGACTCAATGCAGGTTCCGTAAAAAACTGACTAAACCATATGTCTTTTCTCATCACAAAATGGTTCCGTCTAGTAAAATGTTCAGTCACAAACTGGATGAAACCACTCATCAACCCCTTTTTAGTAGAGGTGCCCTTTCACACCGGAAACACCATATTTCGATGGTTTTCTTTTAAAAACCATCTTCGAATAGAGCAACAGGTTCTGCATTGCAGAATCTGCTGAATCTTTGCACACTATATTATCTTATTATGAGCATACGTACCTATCAAAATGATGAACATGTTTCAAATGAGAACCAGATGTCAGAACGACAATAGTGATCGTGAAACTTCAAATGAATAATTCAGCATTGAGATCAGATGAGGATGAATTTGAATATAAAAAGAGCATATTAGTTTCATTTATTTAAAATATATAACTTACTTTTGAAATTAGATGAAGATCAATCTAAATACAGAAAGAAGATATTAGTTTTATATATTCTAAAATAAATAACTGACTGTTAAAATTAGATGGAGATGAATCTAAAATAAAAAGAAGATCCTAGCTTTCTTTATTTAAAATAGAATATGTAACTTACTATTGAATTCGTATGACGATGAATCTAAATATAGAATAAAAATGTACGTTTTGTCTATTTGAAATACATAACTTACCATTTGAATGCGATCGATATGAGGTGAATTTGAAAGGAAAATATTTATTTCATTTTTGATACATCACTCATCATTGATATTACGTCAGGATGAACCTGCTTAATAGAAGAAAAAGATCTATCGTTTTTATAAACTATATAACTTGCCATTAATATGGGATGAATATGAAACTCAAGAACATTTTGCTTTGTTTCGTGTTCTAATAGGTATGCCAGCATAAATATGTTGCCAGTATAAATAATCATTTAATGAAAGAAAAGATTTATTTCATATTTCTATGATACAACTTAAGATTGCTATATCGCTCAGATAGAAGATAAAAGACGTATTTGTTTATTTTTATTTTAGTTTAGATTTCAGAAAATAATCATAAAATAAATGAGGATCGAACAGAAGAAGACTTTATAAGATAACTACTTCTGTGGTAATCATAATGTGACATTTTGTATAAGAAAATCAATAAGAAAAAGTCAAAGTATATCACATTAGTTACATTTCTCCTACTTTTGTAATATGAGAAGAACATAATGAGAACGAATTACGGGAAAAATAATGTTTAAGTTTTCAATGATTGAAGAATTATGAGAAACGAGATTTCTTCGATTATAGACGAGTTGAAGATCTTGTTATCTGTTCCTGCGATGTTATTAGTTTACGTTTTTTTGGATGCTGTGATGCTTTAGTTGTAGGTTCAATGTTAGAAGAACTGTTCTCAATTGTCTCAAAAATATTTTCGTCGACAACAGGTTGCGAAGATTGTTTCTTCGATGACATAGATCCATGTTTGATGTGGTTGATATTACAATCGGATTTTCTTCCACAAGTAACAATGAAATATAATAGAAAACTAAAATAACTATTAGAGAGGAATTTTCGAAATATCAGATCAAAGTTTTTTTTTGAATAGTAATGCGAAATTGTTTAATTTTGGTTGAAAAAGTACATTTTCATAGAACGATCAGTTTATAGTATTATTTTTAGGACTTACCTAAAGCTGACGCATGATTAAGTGAATGCTTTGTTACTGATTCTTGATTCATATCATTAATTGTTTGATTTTGAATGGAGGGTGGGTGTGGGTGTGGGTGTGGGTGTCGATATGAGTGTAAATGTCAAAAGGAATAGCACCCACACCCACACCCTCAACATTATTTTGATATTCATCGATTAAATGAAATAGTACCTCATCTATATTTACTTGAAACAAGTGATGCAGTTATGAAGCAAAATGAAAATCTTGTTGAAGTTATTTTGAACATTAGTCATCAATTTGATCAATTGGTACACTTAGTATTAAATAAAAATAGTCGTTATCGGTCTACAAACAAAAAAAAGGTCATATTCAGAGACAAATTAGTTGCAGCTACTCATAATCAAATATTTCATGGTTGTAACATTCATTTTCAATTTCATATAAACGATGAACTAAGTATTTGGTTCTAATATTATTAGAAAGTTGCGATTCGCAATCCAAAATATGTATATTTGTTGAGAAGATTTGCATAAAGATGATCTGGTTTGTTTTTTTTCTAACTAGAATTCAAATAAAATATTTAGAAAGAAACTCTATTTGTCCAACGTTCTTTTCTATTTCTAAAGTACCTTGAATTTATTGTTACTGTATCAATAAATTATAATAATAAAGAATAAAAACATAAAGCCGATGTTCGTGTATATCTGTACATGTGTGTACACTTATTATTCTTCTTCTCTTTTCTATCGCTACAAGTATAGAGCTTTCGTCAAAAGATATAAACGAAAAAGAAAACATGTCAAATAATTCAATAAATGATATTGAAATGGATCGTTTTGGTTCCGAAGTTGATTACTTGGCAACAACAAGTGTTGTTCCATGCATCGGCTTCGTTGTTCTATTAGATGATAATCAACATATATTTATAGAACATCGAAGCTCTGTATACCTTCCACCCTCGAACAATTTGGAAACTGCACGTTTATGTTTTCAAAATGTTGCTAAACATATCTCTGATGAATTAACAACATCAAACATAACGTAAGTTTTTTAAATATAGGATTTACAAAAATCGAAGTTTTTATCATGAAATTTCACGAATATTCTTATTCAAATTCTCTGCAAAAAATCAGAAAAAAATATTCTCTAACAAGAACCATAGTAGTATCTTTCTCTCTCTCTGTCTTTTCAATGATATATATACACAAATATGTACGTACGTATGTATATATGAGTGAATTGCAAAAGTATTGTACCGTTTGAGAAAAATATCGACGAAAAACAAATTTTCGATTTTAGGGGTTATGAGCCGTGCATCTTATTGTACTAGGTAAGAGTATTATATGTATAAAATTTCCCGACTACTTATCGCCATTTATTTTTTTTGTTAATTCTGTTTCTTTTAATTAATAGAATCAACGACATATTTATGGTGATGATTAATATATGATCGCGACTTCGATTGAACGATCAACGAAAAAGTTATAGATAAAAGTATTTTTTCGAAAATAGGTTTGGGTTATTGAATATAATTTAATCGAGGTTTATTTTTTCATTTATCTTTAACTTTTTACTGAACACAGTCAATCAATAAATTATGCTGATTATTTATATGCATTCGGCACTTCATTTGAACAACCAAGTAAAACGTTACAGATAAAACTGTTCGTTTGGAAAAAGCCTTCAATTCTTAAAACTGAATACATGGCGATTAATTTTTTCATTTCTCATCCATTTTTTATTTAACAGAATCGATCAGTATATCATGTTCATTTTTTACATGAATTCGGCACTTCATTCT